ATACGTGTGTTACATCTTTTCATACGTTAATTACATTTGGTTTTGCCTCAACAAGTTACATTTTGCACACATCTAAGTTAGATTCCATCAACGCGAGTTACATTTTCCATAACAAGAATTACATCACAACATAAAGCCTAATATTGAAACAAAAGAATCATTGTTTTGCCAAAAAAAAATATCTTTTTGGCAAAAAATGAATTTTTTGGCAAAAAAATGATTTTTTAAAAAACATTTTTACGGCCTTAATGTTTAAAAATTACGTATTTACTATTTAAGTTAACCTCTGCTATTGAAACAAAAAAATCACCTTTTGTAAAAATAAATTAAATATTTTGGCGAAATATTGATTTTTTGGCAAAAAACAAATATGGCCTTTATATTAAAAACAAAACATATTCACTATTTACATAAACTAATTGAACAATTAGACTCCTTGTTTTCATTAAAATCAATGTTTTATATCTTATAATCCGTATTAGATAAGTTACATTTTGACTTGCTTGCAATTACATTTTCTATAGAATGAGTTACATTTCTTTACACGTGAGTTACATCATACTACTACTGGGACAATGAAGAAAACAAAAATGAAGTTACTGTTCACACGTGTGAACATTACACGCCTTCTTTTTCTGTGGGAGCAGCATGCTCACCGTGGGCTGCTCTCACTGCTCCCACGGTATACCAACTGATTTTACTCCTATTTTTGAAATTTACTCTTATTTAAATTATTACAAACCATTGCTTTTTCAATGAAGAAAAGGTTATTATATGGAATTATGGATACATTGTTTTTTTCATTCGGTCGATAAAAAGTACTTCTAAATCATTTTAATTGTTATAATAAATTTTTCATGTGATTTTAGATAGTGCTATATATATATTTACTATATATATACTTCATAAAAAGTAGAGGTATTTTATACCATAACAATAGTGTATGCTTTATTAAAATGTACAATAACTATTTTTAGGATAGATTTCTTTCTGAAAATTAAAATGTGACCTCCGTCGGGAGGGCTAGGGCCGAATTTTTTCCATTCTAGGCAGATGCCCTAGTGGTTGTAGGGTCGTGTCAGGTAGACCTGCACAAAAATGGGTTCGGGCGAGGCTCATGTCGAATTTTTTTAATTAATTTTTGCCCATTATGTGTGACTATGGCTTGGATGTTGTTGTATGTGTGGGCGGGCCTGGACCGGCCCACAAAATTGGGTCTAACCCCATGTTCATACCCGCTTGCAAGAACATGGCGGGTAGTCCATTAGGCCGCCTGGCCCGTAAAAACTTTAAATTTTTCAAAATTATATAATATTTTTAATACTTTTAAAAATAATATTACAACATTTGAAAAATTGTTGATACACTTGTAATGTTTGTAGGCCTTTCACGACATACACAAAAATATTTACACAAGAATAATCATGAGAAATTGTAACTAAAACTTAAAATTCAAGTACAAAGTAGTATCTTTAAATACAAAAATAGATATTATATTAGTTGGGCTAGTTGTTAAGAACTAAAAACTTAAATTTAAACATAATAAACTATAAATATGTATAAAGATAAATTAGTAAATATAAATATGCATGTATACATGTAAATAAATAAATAAATAAATAAATAATAAAAAAATTATGTGTGTATATACACTAAAGGTAGTGGGTCGAGCTTATCGGCCCGAACGAGCCTACACCATAACCCAAGCAAGTCCATATGCTATTGCGGGCCCAACCCGACTCGGCGGGTAAATATATATGCCCAAGCCCGCTCATGTGTGCGGGTGGGCCAGGCTGGTCTAGTGTCAGGCCATGGAAGTCGACGGAGACATCCTGTTGGTGCATTTGGTGAAACCAACAACTGACAGGGTCGCAACTGTCAACAATGTCAGGTTATTTACGGACGAGTCTTGGATCCAGTCATTTTTAGACAATTTAAAGCATGGCACACTAACACACGACAAATAAGAAACACAAACAATGTTTTCTAAGGTAAGTAAATTTGTTATTATAGATGACGTTTTGTTCAAAAGGTCAAAAGTAGGACCATATCACAGTCGTCTTTCACCAGACAAAGCAAACAAAGTTCTTCAAAATTTTCATGACGGTGGGCACGAAAAATCACTCTTTCAAGAGACATGACTACAAATATGGGAAACCTTATTCAGGACCTGGGCAACGAGTCGTCACACAATGACATAATGGACCGTATGAGATGATTCAAATCGCCGAACGGGTACAATTCTTGGAAGTTCAAGACGGCAAACAAGTTCTGAGAAGCCACAATGTGGTATATTTAAATTTGTTTCCTGCTTAATTTACTACTTTCCTTTACATATAAATGATCACTAACTTAAGAATCAGAGGGTCGTGGATTTCTAGCTAATGGCTAGGCTTGGCACATTCTTTTTACACACAAATAGTCAACAATGACAATGACAACGTGCTGACACACGTCAAACAAATCCTTACAGAAACGTCAAAACATAAATGATGTGGCTTACATAATCAAAAGCCTTACAGAAACGTCAAAACATAAATGACGGGGCTTATAAGGGAAGAGGTGGGTTTTCATATCTTATAAAGATGAGTGCAAACAACACCAATTCTCTACGAAAGTTTTACAGAAACATCAAAACATAAATGAAGGGACTTGCATAAGCCTTACGGAAACGTCAAAACATAAATGACGGGGCTTACAAGGTTGTAAGTGAAAAGGTGGATTTTTCATGTCTTCTAGACATGAGTTTGAACGCCACTCATTCTCAACAACAGTATGCAAAACTACAGAAAAGTTATATAGAAAAACACAATAGGGAAAAGTATGCTTCAAAAGTATAACACAAGACAACGAGAAACTCCAAAACAGAAGGAAGCGACACGATTGACATCGACACAAATAACATCGACACGAAACTTGAGCATTAATGTTTAAGTTGACAATACAACTAAAATGCAAATGAAATAATGTTCTAAGTTTTTGTAGGAGATCAAATACACTCATGGAGTCAGACTCCAATGAGGGATGGAGTCATCCTTGCCAACCAAAACGTCAACATCAACATGGACGAAATTATAGTTTATTGTGTCTGGTCATTAGCACAATAATATTGTTCATCAAAGAGACAAATTTCATCAGAAGCAACTTGCGAGAAAGGTGATGAAAACGTTCGCTAAAACAAATGACATATTGATAGGCGTGTTTCATGAAACGGATGATGGATTGACGAGTGTCTTTGGTCAGATTGACGACAGATCGATGGGCGCAATAATCAACAGAGACATGAAACGGGCTCAATAATACTCAAATTATAACCCATTTTTTGGGAAGTCACAATATTAGAGCCATTTGGTGATGCATATTTTGGGCTTATCAACCACTAAACACTAAACTTTTAATAATAACCGAAATAGATAAAGTTAGAGTGTTGGAGTAACTTTTCTGACCAAAGTTACTCTAAAAGATCATTTTAATCATTTTTATATAATTTTTTTTTCTTTAAAGTTTCTTTATTTTATTAAAAAATATATTTAAATACAATATTTCATAATTCAGCATATTCAATCAAAGTTTCACTAATTTCAGCAAAATCGATCAATTCAATCAATTTCGGTGTTAAGAAAAAACTATTAATTTACTAAGTGTGATCAAGCGCTAGTAGCACTTATGCAATTACGCCGAATGACTCCTCAAGCTGGAGTAGGAGCAAGTTAACAAACCACTTCATAACTTTCACTATAATGTACTAGATAAGAGAGAGAATTCCCTAAATAGGAGTAAAAAAAATTGAAATTTCAAAATAGGGATATCATATTTTTTATTCCTTGAATAGGAGTAAATTTCTGCCAAGTTTGGCATTACTAGACTTTAAAATATGGCATTTTCCCCAAAATTGACAGATTACTCCTATGCAGGGAATTAAAAAACATAACAATCCTATTTTGGAATTTCAAAACGTTTTTACTCCTATTTAGAGCAATTTCTATAAATAAAACCATGACCAAATTTTATCAATATTGAGTTATTGCCTAAGAAACTTAAAGATAACAAAATTACAAGGGTCAAAGGACTCAAAGGTGTACCACTCTTAATTTACACTGCTATTTCACCTAGGGTAGACCCGGGCAGGCCGGCAGATCTGAATAGGTGGACACGGGACCGGACCGGGTAGCCACCGGGTCCGGACTCCGGTAGGGTTGGACTCAGGCCAGGTCGGGTCCGGGTCGAGCCTAGACCCGAACGGGCCGGCGGTTCAGGAGTGGTGGACCCAGGACCGGCTCGAGTAGCCACCGGGTTTGGTTTGGGTCCGGGCCGAGTTGGGCCAGGCCTTCGGTTTGGGTATTTGTTTTTGGTTTCCTACCCCCCCCCCCCCCTCACCCCCACCCTCCCAAACCCCCCCAAACCCCTCCTAACCATCAACCCCAACCCGGGTGGAACCCCAAAAAATGAAAAAAAAAATTTGGCACGAATTCGGGCCCGACCCGGCCGGTTCGCCAAATGTGAGACCCAAGCCCGGACCCGCACTACCCACCGGGCCTAGGCCCGACCCGGACCCGAGAACCGGGCCGGGCCGGTCCACGGGTTGGGTGACCTGACTTGAGTCCAACCCTAGGGTCCGGTCCGAGCCCAGGCCTCAGACTTGGTTAATTTTTTTTTTTGCTTACCTACCTATCCCTGACCCCCTCCCCCCCCCCCCCCAACCCCTCCTAAACATCAAGCCCAACCCGGGTGGAGCCCAAACAAATGAAAAAAATCAATTTGGCCTAAATAGGGCCCGGGCCGGGCCGGGCCTTGTTTTGGGTGACCCGAGCCCGGACCGGAAACCCCTTGGGTCGGGCCTACCCGGACCGGTCACTGACCGAGACACCAGTTCAGGCCGGGCTGGAACAGTGCCGGTCCCAGGCCGGTTCCGGGTCGGGCCACCCGGCCGAGTCCACCCATAATTTTACCTTATGCATGCAATACTAATTATACTAGTTTATACAAATACATCACTGTTTATAACATTTATTTCAAATAATTTCATGGATTAATTAACTGACTAAAACAAATAAATATAAATTTAATAAAAGAGGATACATTTGTCATTTAACAATTTTTAGCAGCAGAGTTAATTGCAGTTGAATATAAAGAACAAAATAAATAGATATAAAGTGCTGCATATCAATCACATCCCTGCTACTGCAGTTCATCCACTTTGACCTCATATTGCTCACCAGAAGAAAGAATTTTAACACCCACCATCCCTCTGTGCCACTCGTCACTCCCAACTAAGATCAGCCTGCCAGCATTCATCCTAGCCGCCCGTTTGAACACCCTATATCAAGACCAAGTTTATGTCAGAAACTTCAAATTTGAGCATTACTACTAATGTTAAGAAGCAAGCGCCACTACCAATTAAGAAAATGCCCTACAAACAACTTCAAAAACAAATGTCTTCAGAATTATGTACCATTTAAGTGGTTTGTTTTCCAAAACCAAATCGACCGACTGCCCCTTATCTCGAAGTATGGTTGCAACTGAAGAAGCTGCACCTTGGAGATTGGGGTCCAGAGAGCAGACTATGTCGTCTACTTGCAGACTCAGTTCTGGTACAAGCCCTTTCTCCTTCAGAAGCTGCACACCATATTCTTCGGTTAATCTAACAGTAAGTATGGGCCCGTTTGGATCCCAGTAAAAACTAGGAAAAGAAAAGACGGAGTAAAATTGGAAATCAAGATTCTTTTTGGGAAATAAAAGAATTACTCAAAGTAAATAGATTTGCACTCGGAGTATTAGATACTAGTTCAAAGGTCAAACTATTTTCTTTTTATGTCCTAGAAATACTATGAAATCTAGATAAATATGTAAACTACACTACTTCCATCTTAAAATTTTCTCCATTTTGACTTCGGTGATTGAGGATTTTGTTTTAAAAGGGTAGGTACAATATCAACCACACATTATTTCCTTTAAATAGGAAATGGAGAAAATTTTAGGAGGACCCAGTCACCCAGATAAAGAAAATGGGAAGAATGACCTGGGACGGGGGTATAAAAAAATTCATTTTCATTTAGATTTTTCCAAAGGTAAAGCCGACGATGACAAAGACACTTCCACTTAAATGACTCATTCTGACAGGGGGAAGACAAAAAAAAAAGTCAAAATAAATAGAGCACTGAGTGGGGTGACGACAGTGTCAACTCACTTCAACTATGACTGCATCGCCAAATCCAAAGCCACAAGCTGGAAGATCGTCTCCTCCAAAAGTAGAGAGTAAGCTATCATATCGTCCGCCACCACATATGGCTCGCAGTTTCCCTCCTCTGTCAAATCCCTACAACATTCAGGCAATCCCTTGATATGCATTATCACACACAATAAAACTTCCATTATTGACTCTCTTAAGGGGATGCTCTAAATAGGACTAAAATTTTGACAAAATGCACAAATAGGACTACATGTATTTTATTCCCGAATAGGACTCATTTGATCCTATTAAAAGTATAATTGTCCCCTGTTAAGGGTGAATAAGTCCTATTTTAGAAAGAAAACAATGATAGTCCTATATGTGCACTTTGTTTATGTTTTAGTCCTATACAAGGAATTTTCACTTTATTGTTTAGAAAACAATAAATGGGGGCGTAGGAAGTGATATGGAGTCGTCGCATAAGATAGTTGTCAAACCAAAAACCAAAAAGATACCTTCTAATAGAAATGCAAAATCATAAAAACCAATCTTGAAAACTATGATTATGAGCACTCACTAATTTTCAATAGTGAAACTTTCATTAATTCACTCCACCACAACAATGACAACTTAGAGACCAAATATGGTGACACATATAATTGAAACATTGGGTCAAGAGACTCCACAATTGTAAGTGTCATTTTCCTATTAAATTAAACGATACGTTGAAAGAATTGATGTACATTTCTTTCACCCAAAACTTAGCATAGCATAAAATATAAAAACTCAGGATTGAAGTAACAGCATGGGGATCTATTTACTACTCCGTATTTATCAAAAAGAAGCCTATAGAAAGCTGGAAGCCTCACTGCTAGCTTCCCTCTGATTGATTCATATCATATTTTAGGACTGTTAATGTCTACGAATAGCTCTAAGGCTCAGACACTGTTAACTTAGAAGCAAATCTCTAAAATTCCAACCTCAAATACGATGCCGGTATAATAGGCTAATCCGCGTACAACTGATGCATCAAACTGAATCCACTCAGAATAGCCATACTTCTCAGCCAATGAAAACAATTTCTTCACATCAGTAACTGCTTCCGTAGCAGTCCCAAGCTTCTCTGCAAAGAACATTAATGGCATAAACATGATGACAACAAGATTTGAAAGATCACGCGAAAGTATAATACACGTCCAGCAGAATCCACCCATTTGATTCCACTAAGCTCCTGAAACAAACTTTAGACCAAGAAACAATAGTCCCCTCCCAAGTCCCAACAGCTATAAAAATGTTAGCTAGTGCGCACATGCAACCTAAGAGACTGACACCATATAAACTTCAAAAGATTTGTTGTCTAGTCACTCTAATGAGTATCGACTCAAAACCTTCTGAAAAGAAAAATTCATGTTTTAAACCAAAAAAGGTCAAGATAACAGAAACGGGTGCCATTCAAACCTTCCAATTTCTCTAAAGAATTCACACTGAGCACTTGCAATAGCTCTTCGATTGCCACATCAGACAGCTCAGCTGATTTAAGCTCTTTCTTAATGTCATCAATAGGAATCTTTTCTAACTGCTTCCCAAAAATTAAAGTTGAATAGAGATCAGAAAAAGGCTTGATAGTAAAACTAACATTCAGACGCATAATTAGAAAAAACAATGCAATTTTCACGACCATATCTTCTCAGCAGTTCAGTAGATGAAAAGAGATCATTGCCTCATTTGTAGAACAATAACAGTTTAGCACCAAGCCACCAATGAAAGAGTAATGTTACAGAAGACTAATCTATGCATGAATTACTGCTAACCTAATCAGAGAGCTCACAACTATGTTCTACTTCCTGTCGGACTATCAACTTATCAAACATAAACCTCAGTTTTCTACCTTCTAGTGCAAAGCTTGAACTTATCATAAGAATTAGATCATGATTGTTTAGTGACCGGATCAAGTGAGGCACTATCACTAAGAAATTTCAACATTAAAAATATAACTAAACCTGTAGAAAGTTAAAAATAGCTCTAGAATCTAATGTAGCTTTTGTTTACATACTCACACCACCAACCTGCAAGTTTTCCACCTAGGTGAACTAAAAACTAAAATGGCAAACAGCATTTTTTGTGAAAATCATTGTAGAAGGGTGTCTGATATAAATATTAATGCATCATCTCCGTACCAATTGTGGCACTATAAGGGGAGGTAAACTTATTTATACACAACCAGCTACGGAGGACCAAATCGAATGAAAACAACATCAAAAGCTGATCAAATATGAATAAATTGCGACTAAAGGAATTATGTTACAATAAAAGTCAAGAATATGGTAACCTTATCTATAATTACGCACACCCTACTGAACATATTTTCTGGAACAGAGTAGCAACGCAGTACTTCTTGCAAAACCTGTCAAGTTGTCATCAGTGAAACAAAAGAAGAACATGTCACACTTCTCCAAAACTATTCACTTTGATTCAAAGAGAAATTAGGCAGCAAACACATACAAACAGATAACCTTATCTTTTTGTGTTTTTTCCGGGTAAAAGAGACACGACCCTTACCTTCCGACTAGAGATCTTGAATCCAACGTCTGAAGCAGTGATCCCGATGCGTTTGAAAAAGGTAATGATGGATGAAATTAGCTCAGCTTCAGCCTAATACAAGAACAAATGAGAAACTAAGTTCAGTGTGTCCCAAAAAGCTAAATACAGTGTTGCAGAAGACGGTAGGCACCCGATGGCACTTGAGAAGGCAACTAACCTACACAGAAGTACTTAATTGGGCATTAGTGAGCCCTTAGGTGAGGGCTGGAAAGGGTGTGTGTTACAGACCTAGCCCATACTAGGCCCAGAACAAGGACATAAGCCCAGGTGTAGAACTCACTCAAAAAAACAAGGAGGGGACACCTAGCTTATAAGCCAGTAAGCCACCGATCAAGAACATACTTGATAGGTGTGGGATCGTTACAATACCCCACGCTTCGAAGAGCCAATGTCCTGGTTGGTCACTGCTATGTTGGTCACGGTTGGCACTCCCAGGGCCCAAGCCACCACTCCATAGGCCACCACTCCGAGTGTTGGGACAAGGAAGATGGGGACGGCTCTCATACCAATTGTTACGGACCTAGCCCATACTAGGCCCAGAACAAGGCCATAAGCCCAGGTGTAGAACTCACTCCCAAAAGACTAGCCGATTAGGAGGAGGGGACGCCTAGCTTGTAAGCCACCGATCAAGCCCATACTTGATCGGTGTGGGATCGTTACAGTGTGATTATTACAGAAACTGCAAGTCAATACTTAGCCCCTGACTGAACACAATGAAGCAACTATGTCTTAACAAGTTATTCAGCTTAGTAGATGATCCTAAAATGCCGAAAACAACATTGAACTAACTATAAAACTAAAACCAGAAATATACACATACACCGCCAAAATGTCAGCGCAGATAATCCATATGGATAGCCAAATTTATGAAAACTCTATTATTGCATCTAATGTCCAAGAGAGATGAATTCTCAAAATGCCCACTCTAGCATATATTCCAATATTTATAATTAATTTCAACTGCTAAAAAGTATAAACTACCATAGGCAGAGCTGAAAAAACTAGCGAACCAGTTTTATAAACTTCTGTGTGTAACTGTATAATTACTAAAAAGCAGTATTGATTTATGGCTAAAGTATAATTGGCATACAGTAACATCCGGAATGCCAATGATATCCATGTTCCACTGGTAATGCTCACGACGTCGGCCTCTAGTCATTCTTTCGTAGCGCCAGCACTGCCCAATGGCAAACCATTTTAGTGGAAGGGGTACTGATTTTCTGGACATGAAAAAAACATGGAGATCAAAACCTGGCACGAGTACCTGGATACAAAAAACAAGAAATATCATATAAATACCTACGAATATTTGAGCATTTTCCAAGGTAAATCATCATTTTTATTACAGATATAATGATAAAGAAGTCAGTGACACGATATATTTCAGTGCAACAAATGAGCTAAAATAACTCAAACCATGTACCCTTTCTGTATCACAAGTCGTGCCAAGGAAGGTGTTAGTTCAGGTCTCAGTGCAACTCGACGGTTTCCCCGATCTTCAAAACAGTAAAGCTAACAGGAAAGAAGACGAAACAAACATCAGGCAACAAAGATCATGCCTTCAATCAAAGGTCCAGTTTTGTAATAACTTAAATAATCAAAAGTCACTAACTGACTATATCCAAAAACCTGGTCTCTAATCTCCTCTCCAGCCTTCCTAATAAACAGTGCTTCTGACTCTAGCACTGGAAAATCTACCTCTTCGAACCCAAACAGATGAGAAACCTACAACGCATGGTAAGAGATCAAAAAGTGAATTTAACAACAATGTAAAGCTATGTGGGAGTAGCTTAAAGGCCGATGCTTTAGATATTACAATGTATACTTGAACCATGTTTGTTGTATGCCTTTATAAACAATAGTTGTAATTTTTTATTCATTTCGAGTAAATTCATAGTCTTGATCTTCGTACTTATAAACAAAAAGATTGTACCATCAGTCCATGATGTTTAATTATCTTCCCAACAGCTCAGTCAAATACCCATTGTAAAAATGCTTTCTATCAGCAAAAATGTGACTTTTTATACGTTAATGACTATGGGTAACTTGAGTGATCATGATTGTGTTCAACTCTATGCTATAGTGTGACTATGCATAGTAACTATAGAAATATTCTTGTCCAGAGTTATGTTTCATCACTATTTAGGGGAAAAACTCTATAAAGATTAGCTCAGGAAAGTTTCCTATATAAAATGATATTCAAATTAAACAGTTCCATATTTATTGTTTTCTCCTATTAATATGTAAATTAGTATTCCCGATGAATTTACACATTGTGTAACAATACTAACAAAAAAATGAATTTGAATTTGCTAAAAGTTTAATAGACATCATAGGTTCAGCAAAATACGGACCTCTCTGAAGTTCCGAAAGAGCCAATTGCGAAGACGCATGTCTTCCGGTGGGAAGTCCCTGGTTCCTTTTGGAGGATTGACATCAATTTTCTGCACGCCATCAAGCTGAACCGGAGGTCCAGCGAGAGAACCAGACCTGCCAGAACGGGCATTGGGAGGCTGTGCAGATGATTCTGAACATAATGAGGATGAGGAAGTGGAATGAGCTTTGCAACCAAAGCTGGACTGGGAAAAGAACGAAAGATTTAAATGGCGGGGAAGAGCGAGTGCGGTTGTCAGCCGCGGGAGGACGTGATAGTTGTGGCAGTAGATAATTAGGGAAGGGAATGAAATCGCCGGCATAGCTTCTGGTTTGAGTGAAAGGCGCCTAGGCACCCATACCTTTCTAATCAACGGACTCTCTAAGCCCTTAGCCCTGTATGAAACTGCTTTTTATTTATTTTTTTAACATCAGAATTAAGTAAAATTACGAAAAAACATAGTACCCCATGCCAATAGACTTGAATTAGTTGTGAAATAAAAATAGTAAAATTTGTACGATTGAAGTTTGTGTATAACAGAGACAAATGAACAAAATCACAAATTAGTTACTTTATTAAAAAAGTGACAAAATTTTTAGGACAACAAAAAATGTAAAGTTGACAAAGTTCAATGGGACGGAATGAATATTTCAAATGATGATGTTTAGGTTAAACTCTTTTATCAAAATGTTGCTTTTGAACCCACACTCATCACTCCTCAATACAAAACCTTTCTTTGAAGTAGAATTTCGTTATGTATTGCATGGGAATTAGATAGGGGGGTCCCCAATTAGATTTCTAAAGCATTTTAGAATATCATCATACTTTACATGTCCCCATTGAGGTTGGGAAAGATTCCTTACAATTCTGTCATTCTTAAGTATTCCATTGATTTTTATTCTTATGGATTTGGATTGATTTTGATGGAATTATAGGGTAAAAATAAGAAGAAATCATTCAAACACCATTTTGTGCCTCCTCGAGGATTTCTACATCAAGATACCTAGCTAAGCCCAAACTCATTATTCCTCACTTGAGCTCCGACTTCTTCATCCTCAAAAACCAGTAGGCTCGTACGTCCCCAACCAGCTGTACGATCAGAGGTCCGATTTCAAGCTTTGGTTGCTCTAACTCAACCACCGCCGCAACAACAGAGTCGTCAGTCTGTTTTCCAGTCAAGTCGGATATTAAAGATGTCGAAAAAAGATGACCAATGAACTTTGTGAAGTAGGTGGTGGTGTCTGGGAAGCTAAGGTATGGAAGCTTAGATCGTAAGATCTAGTCTCAGTATTGAAATCTGGAATCTTTGTGTACACATCCGCTGTAAAAAGCACCAAAGAAAACAACCACCGGCTTACATCGGAGTTTTATAAAATTCCATAAATGTTATAGAATCTTTGTGATAGTTTAAAATTCATGGAATTTAATATCCTACAAATCCTTTAAAAACTAGGTTGAGGATACCCCCTTATTTAGAAACACTTGAAAAAAAATTATAATTAGATTACTTAAACAAAAATGTTGAAAAAACTTAGTGATGGATAGTCTACCCGGGGGTATATATCCGAAGGGTTATTACGGGGAATAACTTAGAGAGAAGTCAGAGCGAACAAGTAAGAGAGAAAGTGTATATTCGATATATATTCAGCGTTTTCAGCGTGGTTACAAATGGGGAAATGGGGTGCTATTTATAGTAGCAATAAATGTCGGGCAGGGACACGTGTCAAGCGCTCATTGGCCGAGGGGTCACCTCAACTGGTTGGCGCTGGCAGCCGCATGTGGCCGCATTTAATGCGGCTGTTGGATGGGACGTCTTTGCGGGGTATGGTGATCTGTACGCATGTGAGGCAGATATCTTGTCGAGTGAGGTGCCTTCGGCTATAGAGCAGTAACCGAGGGCTCTCCCACCCGATGGCACCCTGGTGCCGAGGGCTCACAATGCCGAGGGCTACTGTTTTCGCCGTTTTCTCCCAGTTTCCTAATTTGCTTGAGAAACCCGCTCTGTGATAATTTGGAGCCTTCGGCCAGGGGACCGAAGGCACCCCTGTGCGTTGTGCGGGCTGCTCGGTACTCTGGGCGCTGTGATTTGGGCCTGTTGGGCCTTTTGGGCCTGTTGGGCCTTCGCTGGAGTAGTAGGAGTCTGTGGGCCGGGGGTTCCCGGGCCATATACTCCATCAGGAGTCCCTCACTCCTTTTGTCGAAAGGTACTTGAGGGAAAAGGAGTAACTTGCGCTTGCCCTTTGATGTTGTCCCGTCGTGATTCCTGAAGTTTGGTGAGGATTTGTTGCTTTTAGGTCCCTGCCGAAGGCAGTCCCTCAGTTACCCACATGTCGGGACTTGAGGGGTTGCTTTGTTGTTTGTTGGATTTTCACAGATTTTGTAATTTGATGATTTTCCCGAAGGGGTCCTCCAGTCCCCCACTCCTTGAGGCACTTGTAAAGTGGTGAAAAGGAGTAGAGTAGTTGCGTTGCTGTTGTGGGCCGAAGGCTGACGCTTTTCGTTTCATTTTGGGGGGATGCCTCGTTAAAAACTTCATTAGGAAAAACCCTTTGGGAAAAAATCCTAATGAGGGAAAAAGAGTGCACCGAATTCCCCCAATGATGAATCGAGAATGTCAAACCTTGGTACAGAGTGGAGAATTACGGGAATGCCGAAGGCTCTCTCCTCTGAGGGCTCCTGTGTTGATTAGCCGAAGGCTTGCTGTTGATGACCTGGTGGTGCCGAAGGGGAGCCCCTCAATCCAGGGATCGAGGGCCTGCCAGATGAGGGCAGCAGTGAAGTTGTTACCGGGGGGTCCAATGTCTGTTGATGAGTTGGTGATGAAGATACCCGAGGGCTCCCATTTCCTGTGTGCCATGGGCCATCCGTCAATGGGGCACACCCCCGAGGGCTACCCGGTTTTGCAGTGCTGAGGGGGAAACCCCGAGGGGTGCCCTGATATGCAGCCCTAGGGATCTGAAGGGGTGATCCCGAAGGCGTGTGTAATGTGCTGTGTGGGCACAGCCCGGGGGCACTTCTGTGTGAGTGCACCCGGAGGCTATCTTTGATGAAGTGGAGTGAAGTAGAAAACCCGGGGGCTTCCAAAATATAGCCGTTGGAAATATAGCCGTTGGAATATGTAACGACGGGATATAGCCGTTGGGGGGGCACACGTGGCGTGTGATGGCTGGCTGTCCGTGGGCGGCGTCACCGGTTGGGCGAAGACGCGGTGAGTAATGATGGCGTCCATCCGGAGGCCCGGAACCCAGGCCCAAGCCCGGATTCCAGCGCCTATAAATACCCCAAGGCCAGGCATTCCTCTGTGTGCGAAAAACTTGTTAGCGAAGCTCTGCCCATTTTTCTAGAGAGAGAAACAGCAGCCCTCGGTTGAATCCTCCGTTCTTAAGGTCAGTTCTCCCCTTGCCCTTCAGCCTCTTAGCTACCTGTACTGTGCCCCTAGGTTAGGAGATAGAAAATTTAGAAAACACTAGTGTCCGCGAGCCTTCGAACCAGAGTCAGCATGTCGTCCCAGAGTGATTCTCAGGATATTTCGGGGGAGCCTTCGGTAGAGATGGTGACATGCTCAGATGTGGAGTCTTCGAGTGTGGAGTCCTCGGCGGCCGGTGATGCCGCAGTGGCTATGGAGGTGGAGAAGGACCTCCAGGCCGAAGTCGAAGCCGAGGGCTTCGAGCAAGAGAACGAGGATGAGGAGCTTGCCCTTGCCGTGCAAACCGCCGAGCAGGAAGAGGAGAGGGAGCGGCTGAAGGTGACGGTTGCCATTCCTCCCCCCCGGGGTGCCGGGGAAGCCAGCTCCTCCCGGCCATTGGACCCGACACCAATAAGTGTGGCTCCCGGAAAGAAAAACAAGACGAAGGCGGCCCCGAGGAAGAAGCAAGCGGCAGTAGATGCCGGCCGGCCGGTGGGCATACCCGAGGGCCACTCGTTTTTGAACACTGCTGCTCTAGAGCTGAAGACGAAGGCGTCCCCGGCAAAATACCAGTCCACCCAGATGCTGGTTGGGCCTTCAGCGCGCGTGGTGGAGCCCAGGGCGGATGATTTGCTGCGATACGCGCCCGAGGGGTGCTTTGCTGCTCACACCCTCTCGGTGGAAATGGGGCTCCGGTTCCCGCTCCATCCTTTCCTCTTGGAGTACCTGAGATTTGTGGGGTTGGCCCCTTGCCAGCTAACCCCCAACAGCCACTCCTATGTGGCCGGCTTCCTTTCCTTGTGTCAGAGCCGGGGGGTCGAGCCCACACTCGACCAATTCTTCATGTCCTTCAACCTGTGCCGGGGGGACATTCAAATGCTGAGGGCTTTGCCAACCTTCAGCAGGTACCGGAGTTCCGGCTTTTCGATGATGTGCCCTCGTCTCACAAGGGGTGGAAGGAGAGGTTCTGTTATATCCGCCTCGAGGAGAATCCTTTCCCGGCCCAACTCCGTAATAGCTTCCGGCGCCACCCGAAGGTGGGGAGCGCAGCTTTGGAGAAGAACGACAAAGTGCTTGCCAAGAAGCCGGAGGGGTCTGACAAGCATGTCAAGATCAGAGAAGTCACCCTTCCGGGGGATCTGCTTAACCTAAGCTTCCGGCAGTTCAGGCCGAGGGGCTCCTCGGATGAGAGATACCCACCCCTCGATCGGGTCTTCGAAGGCGCCGGAGGTGATCACCGAAATGTTCACTGATGCGTTGATAGTTCTTTCGCATTCCGCCTGTTTTTTTTTATGACGTAGTGACTGGTAGCCTTCGATTTAACCCTTCTGTTTTTTTGTTGCTTGCAGGTAGCAATATGGACGTTGGTTCCCTCTTCGCTTTAAAAAACGCGAAAGGAAAGAAGAAGGCCCCGGCGGACGCTCCTTCTAGGGAGGGGCCCTCTCAAACTGTTGGCGCTGCTGCTGGCGCCGGAGGGTCCAAGGGTTCCGGGCCCGTAAAAAAGAAGGTTGCTGGAAAGGGGGCCGAGCCCCCGGCCAAGAAGCCGAAGACCGCCGCCCCTACCAAACAACCGATCACCGATGTGGTGGTGATTGTTGACGAAGGGCACGCTTCTGCCTCCACCCCCCAGGAATAAATCAATCAAGAGTTCTTTGGGCGGGAGAGGTTGGAGGCGATAGTGCCGAAGGGGGCCTCCGTGTTGGAGGGCAGTTTGAACCCTTCGGCTCTGATGAGCCAGATGCTGCCGTCGGCCGACCGGCTGGCCCTTGCCCGGCTAGACGAGGGACCCCTCGAGGCGAAGGTCCTCCTGAATGCCGCCTCCGTAAGTCCCCCCTCTCTTCCCTGCTCATTGCTATGTTTTTCTTCCGTACTCTGTTCCTTATGCCTAATTTTTGCCTTCGTGAATTGCAGGCTTTCATGGGCCTCTGTGAGCACCTCCAAAGGGTGGATCAAATGAGGGAGGCCAAGGGTGCCGTCGAGGGGGAGGCTG